AATCACTCTACCCCACAGTAACATTTCCGAAAAATGTTACCCACTATTGTAACCATCACCTTTTATTTTTATACCCCTTCCCCAAGAACCCTTGTGTAAAACCCTACCCCTCCCCGCGGCCCAAACCTATATAACCCCTATATGGTTAGACCCCCCCCCCCCCCCGGGCTATTGAACCGACCCAACAGTCGCAAATCCCCTTCGTGGCAAGTGGATTGAATGAATCTGTCTACATTCTGACCTCTTTTAGGCTTGGAATTTGTTCCAGTGCTTGTCCATTCAAGTTGATTTCAAATACTTGTCGACAGTCAGATTCATTACAACTGTCAAGCTGAAAATGATGAAAGAGAATGGAAAAATGAACGACCAAAAAAATCCGATTACTGTAACGCCTTAACATTTTTTACCAACAGAGTTACTCTTGGCAGGTGTAGATTTTCTCCACTTTCTGTTTTACTTAAAAACTGAAAAAAAGATGCTCTCAGCTGTTGTAGCTTGTTGTATTAAAACTAATGAAAAACAAAGTTTTTTATACTTACGATCTCTTGTACCCTTAAGTTTGCAGTTCTTCCTTCGCTCGGTGAAGACTGGACACGTTTTTCTTCTTGTCTTTTCTTGCTAGTTTTTTGCAAAGAAGCCGATGCAGACTTTGTTTTTGATTTGTCAACACTTTCAGAGAAAAATGGTTTCTGCTGATTGTGCGATGGCCTGGTAGACAACATCAAGACAGAGCGGCATGGATATACTCCTATGATCTATCAGTGCTGTTAGACTGTGAATAACACTGCAGCTTGAAAAACATTTTTAGTAAACATACTCTAAGTGTGAATGCATTTAAAAGAAAAAATTATTTCCTCAAATTGCAAACTGACAGTTACGGACGCCATCTTGGTCAATAAATCCCATAATCCAATGGGTTTACTTCCCACAATGCACCGCTTTAATTTGCCGCCTTGGTTTGAAGATGGCGGTATGAGTGATATGAAACAATCGAGTGTGTCTGTGTTGGCTTCGACCGTTTTACTCAATTTTATCGATAATTGGAAGTGTTTGATGGCCTATCATAACGTAAGAACAACTAAAGAGACAGGATCTTGAACTACAGGCGAGAGATATCTGGCAGCGGAGGCTATGGCACTTTGCACCTTTGGCCTCCATGGTTATCTCCTTTGTCGTTTCAAGTGTATTGTGTTGTTCAAGAGCAAACCTTAAGGCGAAAAACAAACTGTTTTTATTTAAAAAATTAGCTTGGCAGAGAGGATTAGCTATGCGACCACTGCGCGTATTAAATGTTGCTGAGAAAAATGATGCAGCGAAGGAGCTGTCCAGAATCATGTCTAGAGGACAGAGCTCGCGGGTAGGTATGGGTAGGTAAAACAGGGTCCTGGTAGGGGGGTGGGTGGGGAGTTACTACTTCTGTGGGTATGTCGCGCAACAGGTTCATAATTTTGGGGACTTTTGATCTACACTCTTTTTTTCTATAAGGATATATGTTATAAGAATATCGAGGCTGAAATTTACAAAATTTTAAGAATATTTTAAGAATAAACCCCAGGCAAAGATTTTGTGTGTTTGAAAACTGTAAATACAACACAGTTATTGTGTTTTCAACTTATTCCATTCACTAAAAGGCAAAACTTGCCCGCAAAATGAAAAAACCTGCACATACTGTAATTGATACCCCAATATTATATTCTAAAATGGAAATATCATAAGCCATAATTTAACAGTGATACAAGAATATTTTTCGTCTAAAATTGGCAGAAAAATAAGAATTTTCAGCCTAGGCCAGAAAAACAATATTTTTATACAAAAAAAGAGTGTAGATAGAATAGGGTATGATGTTCCAAATGTACCTTGCGCATGGAGGCTTCAATTTAATCAGCAGCCATTTTGAAATTAATAATTATTTTATTCACAGAGAAATTGCTTGACAAAATGCATGGAATTTAAAGAACTTGTTATCATAGTTTTTGGTATCATTTTGAGTGGATTTTTATAACACAGAGTCCAAATTTGAACACCCAGGCAGCACATACCCACCCAAAACATACCCGAGTACCCCCACCCCCCAGGGACAGAGTAGGATGGGAGAGGGGTTACAGGAATCATCTCTATCATAAGGCGCCAGAAATACATGTACTGAGAAGTTTATAATAATGCCATTAACTTATCCACCGCTCAATTAAGCAGTATCTTAATTTCTGACCAACTGGGCTTAGTAAAGTTAAACTTGGGCAGGTATAAGGTCACTGCAAATAGGCACAGCTTATACAATATTTCAAATTGTTTTAGAAGTGCCATCCATTGCATAACCTGTACTAATGCAAGATGATGAAATAAGTGTTTCTTATTTTGGCTGAAAACGTTCTATGATTACCAGCTACTCTGGTTAAGAAGTCAAATTTAGTAACACATGTATGTTAGCTATTATGTTTAAGGGTGCAATTTAGTTATAACCTTTACTAACCTAAAATGGTTTTGATCACTTAGTTGATGAAGTCAATAAGTCACAGCAAAAGGATTGAAAAGTTGCTGTTGCGAGCAAAATCTTTTGGCACCTATACTCATTGTCCAGTTTTACAGCTTGTGTGCCTGTGTTGTCATTTACAAATTAACTGCAAGAAACTGTGTTGAATAATTGATGCTGTTGTTTTTGATAGGCTTTGATTTCTTTGCAGAGAGAAGGGTTCTCCAAGTTTAACAAGATTTATGAGTTTGAATACAACATTTTAGGAAGTGTGAGTATTATAAATGCTTCTCTTCTCTTAGTTAATCACCTTTTATAAATGATCATTGCTTCCAAAAGCTCTTTGCTACTTCCTTTACACTTTATATATTAATTTTTTTATTGTCAATCGTTACATATGTATACTTGTATGTATTGTACACTATAAGCATAAAAATTTCATGTCTCCTGTGGTTTTACTAATAACAGAATGCCACAATGGTGATGACTTCTTTGTCTGGACATATGATGACGTTGGACTTTACAGCCAGTCACCAAAAATGGTAAGGCAAAAGACTGAGACAAGGCTGTAACTCAATGTTTGCAATTATACAGCATAGTTGACATAGTGATACATTGTAAAATGGCAGGGTATCTTTGGGGGAAATAATGTGGTTTCCATTCAGTGAAGTGGTTTGCTTATTACTTTCCTGCAGTACTTTAGCTGTTTAGTTCTATATTGAACCTTAATATGAGCTGAGGGATGGTCTTATAAGCAGTAGACCAATGGTCCTCCCAATCCAGGTCTCTCATCACTGAAATTAACTACAACCCTGGTCAAAACTCTTGGGACACTAATGCAATGGGTCATCAAATTGAGGCATCTTCCCTCCCCCCTTCCCCCTCCGTGCAGTGTTGATGTTACGCATTCAAGTTTCAATTCAACACCGATTGTATGAGAGGGGGACAGCAGAAATAGCCCCTTATAACACATCCCCAAGCTTTTTTAAGAGGTAGAATATGAGTTAACTTAGCAAAGTGTCTTTGTGCCTAATTTCCTCAAGTGTCCCAAGACGTTTTGACCAGGGTTGTACAGGCAGCTATAAGTTTTAATCATAGCTATTTCAAGGAATTCCGGTAATTTTTCAGTGTTCCACTGTTGTTAATTCCTACAGGCATAGTTGTTCCCCAGTAGCACTTTTCAGTGCACCTGTTAAAAAGTTTGTTGGAGAAAACTTCCTTCCAATTAAAGTAAGAGCTTAAAATTATTATTATTGTGTGTGTGTTAAGATTCAGCAATTACAGGGTTGTGCTCTGGCAGAACTCCAGCTCTACAGGCTTTATGGTTGGTACCCTAGATTTTACAGGTTCAGCGCACTAGGCCTGCTTCAATTTTCCTTAGAGCATGGCCTTGATTTAGCATAATCTGCCTGCTAAACTCTAGACTGTACATGTTACTTATTTGAATCAGTTTCATTGCTAATACATTGATGTCAAGATGCGTCAATCATGTTTGAAAATTGGAAACAAAACATACTTAAAAATAACGTACCATTTGTGACCTGTATCTACTTTGGTCTTCCTTTCAGAATTATGCTTCATCATTATTCAGTTGTGTTTACACCTTTAATTATGTCTTTTGAATTAGAAATATGGCAAAAATATAGTATATTATACGAAAATGATATGTTAACCTTCAATTCTAATTTGTTTTACAGAGGACTTTGGAAAGAGAAGTGCGTGGCTGTGGAGTCTTAATTATCTGGACTGATTGTGATAGAGAAGGAGAAAACATAGGATTTGAAGTCATTGATGTGTGCAAAAATAGTATGTTATTTATGACTTTTTTTTTCTCCCTTATTTTAACACAGGGCTTGTTAAAACTATTACTATACTTGACAAAATTTAATAGCCTGAAAGGGTGCTTAGTTTTAAACATACTGGAAACTTACATGTGTTTATAATCAAAAGGTATTGAACTCGATGTTGATTATTAAACTAATGCTTCTGTTTTCCTTTTTCTTTAAGTCCGTCCAAACATAAGGATTTATCGCGCAAAGTTTTCTGAAATCACCAATCAGTGAGTAGTAAAAGCAGTGTTGTTATTTAAAAAGCTGTGAAAATGATTTCAAAACCTTTACTTTTTTCTTAAAGGCAACTCAAAGTTGCCATAGAAAACTACTGGCATGCTAACTGTGTACAGGTAAAACTTTACTATTTTTGGTGAAAGCATGGTAGAGTGGTTAGAGTGCTAGACTTGCAATCCAGAGGCCCCGAGCTCAAGTCCCGAGCAGTGACCTCTTGTTGGATAGGTTTCATGTTTCATCTGTTATTTCAGATCAGTTACAAGAGCTGTACAAAATTTAGTTCAACCTGATGAGTTGCAGGCTCAAGCTGTGGATGTGAGAATGGAGCTTGATCTTAGAATAGGTATGTTTATACAGGTCAACATTAAATTCAAGGTAAAAATTTTTAACCTAGATTAATTCTCAATTTCCTTTGTCTCCTAGCCCTGATTATTTGTGAATTAGGGCTAGGCAATAAAGGAAATTGAGAATCAACCTACATTTAGGTGAATAAAACATTTTGACCAGTGTAACAGGTATATCCTGGATTTTCCTTGTACTTTCATCCGTGCCTTTCAATAATTCACATAATATTCAATTTACAGTTCAACCTCTACAATGGCCATTTCTTTCTCACAGGATCTATCCTGTGTAATAAGGCTCCCAAGATAGTTAAAGTACATTTCTTGACTTAATTGTTTACCATCAAGAACGATCTTGAATTCCTCACCAGGCCTCTTACTGATTTTCATGCACATCCTGGCAATTATCTTTCTTTCTTCTTTCTTCTGGCACTATCACTTGACACATATGGCCAAGCTAGTAGAAAAATGCACGCAAATAAGAGGCAAAGGGTGCCATGAATATGTTTTAGCTTGGTCAGAAAAATTCAAAAACACAATAGTCATATGATAAAATGCTTATTGGCTGAGTTAGGTTGGGCGAGACGGGAAAACATTTTGCTCTCAGTCAGGGTGCACGGACCTCAAGCCAAATATTTTCCTGTCCGGCCCTCCCACCTAGTCAATATGCACATATTTTACTTTAATTCTTTTCTTGTTGGGTAGGTGCTGCATTTACTCGGTTTCAAACCTTAAGGCTGCAGAAAGTTTTTCCTGATGTTTTAAGCGAAAACCTTATAAGCTATGGTAAGTATTTTAAATGATAACAAAACTTTATCGTTACAATTTTGTAGAAAATAGGGCAGCCTTTTTTTTTCATTTTTAATGAGATACTATGTTTACACTGTATGTTGATTTGTAGAGTGGTACAGACTACCCTTATCTGACAGACGTTTATTGATCTCTTGTTTTAGGCAGCTGCCAATTTCCTACTTTAGGTTTTGTTGTTGAAAGAGTAAGTGATTAGTTTGCTTGTTTTGTTATAAACTTGTTCAGGTTCATTTCAACATTAAATAGTCTTGTATATCCTAGTACATTAAAATGAATCATAAGTGAAAATGATTGCAGACTAGTTCAGGTCTGTCACCATTAGGGCTGGCTAATTAAACCATGTTGTGTGTTTTTTCCCTAAGTATAAACAGGTACAGCAGTTTGTACCAGAGACATTCTACAAGATTAAAGGTGGGTAGGCTAGAGTGGTCCTTTGAATCCCGCATAGTGTGGTGCAAATAAATTATTTATGTTTCAGCCAATTCATTTTTTTTATCATTACCAGCATTGCTGACAAGAGAAGGAATTTGTTTGTGCAATTTTCTTGAAATTCATCAAATTGTTAATTGTCTAATAATTATGTTTGAGTGGACAAGATAGTAATAAAATGAGTTTTCTTTTAGTTACTCATCAAGTAGAAGACACAAAAGTGGATTTTACCTGGAGAAGGTAGTTTTTTTTTCTTGTCAAAGTTACACATAACATTACTTCAAACTACTTAAGCATTTTATATAAGTATTTTGTATTCCTAAATTTTAACATTGATCTGAATGGATTGGAATGCTCCTGCTGTTGTGATTTGTGTTTCACCCTTGTGACAATTCATGATCCTAGGGGAAGACTGTTCCACCGTTTACCGTGCCTTGTCCTCTATCAAATTTGTTTGGAGGTGAGATATTACATTGTAGGATCATGCTTCAGTAGAACCCAAAATAAAGAGGTAGAAGTATTCTTTAACTTGTGTAAGGAATGTCAACTAGTTAAGTGTATAGCTCAGTATGTTGAAGGCTTCAAAAAAACTTTGAATTCAGGCTTTTCCTTTGGGCAGCTCAGCTTCCGCATTTTGCTTCCCAGGGTAACTTCTTGCTTGTCTGAATCAAATGATTTTGTTAGAGGATGACTTTCCTCGAGCTTTTCCCATTGGGCAAGTATCTTTAAGAGTTTATACTTGACTACTGGACAAGACTTTTTTCTCGTCCTGTATGTTGTTATGAAATCTTGCATGCAACTGTAAGTACACAGACCATGATATGTTCGCTCTGTTTGTGCTGACTTGACATTGTGGCGTCAATGTTGTCAAAAATTAGTAATAGTCTATTTCACACTTCTCTTTGTTCAATTTTAAGCGAAGAGCTTTCATTTGATACTGGTGCTAAGCTTGTAAGCCTTTCTCAGGGATTCCACTAAGATTTCAAGTTGCTGGGTAAATACAACAAGTAGGCAGGGAATAAGACAGCTAGGGATTTCCTTCAGTGCTATGCTTCTTCTATTTTCTTAAGAAAGTAGCCGGTGACCACATTCATAGTAGCCGGAGGAAATCCCCAGCCCCTGCCTCTTAATGATAGCCCTGCTTTCTTCATGTGAGAATAGCCAACACATGTCTAGAATAGTTATCCTTTACTAAAGAGTTTTACCCCCACTTCTGGATGCTCTCTAATAACAGAAGTTTACTAGGCCTTAAGTTTGCCATGTCATGTCAGTGTCAATCTTTTTAATGATTTTTTGTCTTGTTTCTTATTCAATAAGGATCCTACAGCAAAAGTTCTGAGTACTTCATCTCATCCCAAGAGCAAGTGGAGGCCATTACCATTGGACACAGTGGTAGGTACATTGAGATCTCTCTTGAACTTATATGAAGATGCATGTTGCATTTTAATAAAACATTCTTTATGTTAAAGGAACTTGAAAAACTGGCATCACGTAAGCTTAAAATCAATGCTAAGGAGACAATGAAAATAGCAGAAAAACTCTACAATCAGGGGTAAGTACATTGCTCATTTCACTGCCTCAATGATTGTTAATTTGTTGGTAGTGTTGATAGTGTTGTTTTTAAAACACTTACTATATAAAAGCCAAAAAAATGAAGCAGATCTATATGCATAATGTTTCAGGTTCATCAGTTATCCACGCACAGAAACCAACATGTTTCCCAAGTCTTTAGATCTGAGGCCTCTTATTCAAAATCAAACTGTTGATGCCAACTGGGGAGGTAAGTTCAAGATTGTTTAATATAGAGTACCTTATTATAGGAAATTAATGATGCACTTTATTAATGCAATTTTAAAAAAATCGCGTTAATTTAATGCATCTTAATTTACGTCGATGTTAATTTAAATCACACTATTTCACATCATTGTTGTTTTACAGCACCTTTATTTCAATAACAAAACCTTGCCTGCTCATAGTTCCTCTATCAATACCTCAGAGTCACTATCTGACAGTTCTTCTTTAAGAATTGAGTTCAAAATGTCTTTCAACTAGTCTTTGCATTGATCTGTTTCACTAAGGGGATAACTAACTTCTTCAGTCTTTCTTCTTAAAATTTCCATTTACGTTTATTTCTGTTATTCCTTTAGATATTATGTTGAGAAGTTTTCATTGCAGCAAATTTGTGTGAAATAAAGTTAGGTGCACATTGTTTTCAAAAATTTCATGTTATTTTGATGTATGTAAACCTAACTTTTGGAAAATTCAGGTTAATTTTGTGTAACATAAATTTTCTTTGCGTTGTCAATGTGCATTGTTAATTTCCCATAATAAGGTAATGAACCGTATTCAAGATTGATGGGAAAAGGGTGTAAAAAGTTTCAGTCTTTTTTTAACTCCTCCAATGAAACTGTCTATGGAATGATCATGTATTGAAACCTTCAAATTTTATGCATGGTTCTTTCATATAAATTTAGTGACATTTCCCATTGTAAATCTGGAGATTTGGGTTTCACCCTTTGTGTAAATGTTTCCTTAGACGAGAATTTGTTTTAGCCTCTCCCCTTATAGATGTCTATTAATAAATGGGTACGTGGTTGTGGTTTTTCAAACGTTGGATAGTGCTTTCAAATGAATAAATCACAATCTGGCAGGTAAGTATTAGGAAAACCACAAACACTATATTGTTATGCACTGGATGGAGTATCTAGTGGATAGCATTGTCCACCTTTTGAACAACTCACCTGGGCCATTAATATACTGTAAGGTTGACCCAATGGTGACCTCCTCTGTAACATCCCATACAAAAGGAGTAGTAATATTCCTACAAAAGGTGTATCATACTACACCTAACTGAGTTAATCTTTGGCCATAGGCATTTCTACCTCATTGGTGTGCTTTTTCTAGGTAAACTAATAGTTGTTGTTCTGAGACTCTTTTTAATGAAAGCGACTTTTGAAGGAAGACGGGCAAGAAATCTAGAGTGCTCTTTGATAAAACTGCTTCCTAAAAATTAATGTAATGTCATCATTGTCTTGTTACTTTTGTAGAATTTGCTGCTGGGGTGCTAGAGAGAGGCCCCAATCCTCGCCGTGGAAACAAAACAGACAATGCCCACCCTCCAATCCACCCCACAAAGTACACAGATGGCTTACAGGTAGCTGCTACAGTATCATATTTCTTTTTTATTGTGATTTTTTTTTTAAATCTTAGACAAAAGAGAACATAACAACAGTCTGTGAGAGTTAGGAAAATCCTGAGTCAACAATAGTGTTTCTTGAACTTCTATGTGAATAGAGAGTAAAAGAATAATTAGTACTGTAAATGTGTGCAAATTGGTAAAATTTTGATCTGAATAATTCGTGTATGCATCAATATTTTTTATTAATCAATAAATATTCAAACACTGTTTCATCAGTTTATAATTTAATAGAAGTCTAAGGCAAAGAAAGATAAAGTGATTTCAATCAACGCTGAAGCTGGTTGTTTGTCACACGTGGTGTAAAGCAATGCGTTTTGTACGTAAGTTTTTCAAAAAAGTAATTTACAGAACTAAAACTTAACAAAAAAACTTTATTTTTCAGGGCAATGAAAAAAGGCTGTATGAATTCATAGTAAGACATTTTTTAGCCTGCTGTTCTGAGGTGAGCAGTCTTGGTTTCCTTACTGTGCCGAAATGATTACATATGTTTTTGTTTTGATTTTCCTGCTGCTGTTCCCAGCTTCTCTATGAGATTATGATAGCATCGTGTTTTTGTTTATAGGATGCAAAAGGGCAGGAGACTAATGTGGAAATAGAGATTGCTGGAGAAAAGGTACACAACCCGCATATAACTTACAGCTCTGATAGAACTGGAATATGTTATTATTCACAAAAACTTTATTCTTATAAACTCTTATGAGTTTGGCACCAGATCAAGGAGCCTTGAATTATTTGAAAAGTTCTTTACAAGAATGGGGTATGTGCCTTCTTTGGTTATTTGTTTTTAAAGCAATTTCCAAATTTGGATAACAAATACAGCATTACAAAGTTTCAACAGGCTACAAGAAAAATTTCTGCAGGGCACCTTACATTATGATGCTGGAATCACTCCTGGATTTATTAAGATCATAATCTACAACCAGTTAATTTAAGGGAATTGTTTAGAAGGCTTGCTATTCAAGCTTAAAATAATTAAAAAAAATAATGTTTTTAATAAAGTATGATCATCTTCTAGTTTACAGCTAAAGGATTGATGATTACTGCAAGGAACTATCTTGATGTGTATCCATATGACAACTGGAATGCAAGGGTAATATATCTCATGGTGCTAATATTTACAGGGCTGTCATGAAAAGATTTCAAGTTCCCCGGTAAATACAACAAGTAGGCGCGGAATCAGACAGCTAGGGATTTCTTTTTCTGTTATTTTTCTTCCATTTTCCTGTGAAAGTAGCCGGCGCCCCGTTCTTAGTAACTGGGGGAAATCCCCAGCCCCCACCTCTTAATGACAGCTCTGGTTTACCCCAAAATTTATTACTCTGTGGTGGTCAGAACCTTCTCTTGTATCCAACCAAAAGTGTGAAAGGTAATAAGGGTAATGTATTTTTAAGAAAGATTTTTTCAACAGAAGGTTTTCACTTTACAGTAAGGATTATTTTACAACGTAGTCCACACCTTGTTTTAAACCTGTAGAAGTTCCTACAGGGCTCAAGAATCATTTGAATCCCAGCACATCCTTCACGCAAGTACCTCTTACATTTTTCTTGCCATTCCAACTACTTGCTTGTCTTAGTTAATGACTAAAAATATATATATATATATATATGTTTTTTCATACATGTGTTTGTTATTTTGAAGTGTCTGTATGGCATTATATTATGCGTAAATAGTTTGTGCTTTATTTCTTTTTCTTGTCTTGTTTTAGACAATCCCAGTGTATAATCAAGGTGAAGAATTTCAACCAAGCTCCATTGAGGTTGGTAAACAAAGTGCCAGTTTCTCTCATTAGTTGTATCAGATTGGTTAGTGTACCAGGTCCAATGTACTGGCAGGTGTGTATGTTGTTCAAGTCATATCACTGGCTTCATTTTTTTCCCTTTTTTATAAAGAGGGAGGGGCTGGTTATGTATGATAATGAGTTAAAACAAGAAGATAGAATTTAAACCAAGGAAAAAACTGACCCACAACATGTATAATTATTACTGTTGACAATATTGTGTCCTAATGATGTTTAGTGATGGTCATTTTTCTAAACTATTCATGTTGTAATCACCAGAGATTGTTATCTAAATTTATGTCAATGATAATATAATGTGTGGCAAAACTAGTATTGTCACAGATGAAAACTAATACAATGTACTTCAGCCACAATGTCTTTGGAAGAAAGAAGGCTTCAAAGTGTATTTTAGCATGTCTGCTATTGTTAAATGTTTGATTTTCAAATAAAGCTATTATGTCTCGTCAGATGGTTGATGGGGAAACCAAGCCACCTCCACTGTTGACTGAAGCTGACTTGATTGGCTTGATGGAAAAGCATGGGATAGGTAGGAAGAAAAACAACAATACTGAAGTCACTGTTTAAAGTAATCTGCCAGGTGACACACAGTAAAAACCTGCAACTAAAAACCTGGTTTTTAAGAACTTGTTGGGCTAAAATTTGTCAGTAAGGCCCCCTTTAGACATGAAACTCTTTAGGTTCTTGTTTTCCAAAATCTATAACAACAATTCTTTACACTTGGGCAAAAGAACATCAAAATTCATGTGGTCAGTGCTTCATTCCTTCTTCTCATAGTCATTTTTACATAAATACTCTGTTGGTATGAAGATTGTTTATAAGAAATGATCTGAATACCACTAAATGCTCATAGCCACCATGCTTTTTTTCTTCAGACAATAAGAACCTATTTAAGTAGCCTAAATTTGTACAAATTCCCATTAATATGTACGAACCTGTTTAGGCTAACTTGGGAGAATGCAGGTTCTAAGTCGTTTTTTTTTTATTGTATATGAAAAGCTGAATCATAGTATTTTTTACCTCAGGGACAGATGCTACACATGCAGAGCACATTGAGACCATAAAGAACAGGTGCTATGTGGGAGTACAACAGGATGGGACCTTCCTTCCAGGCCAGCTTGGAATGGGACTTGTTGAAGGTAAGATTTGGATCCAATGAATTACATTATTTAACAGCAATAAGCTTTATTGGGAGTAAGAATGAACTAGTGTCTTGGCTTAGCCTTATTTCATGAAGGAACCATTTTTAAACCTTTGATTCTCTGTAGCAAAGGATAGCTATGGAGAAAATGATCATACAGGGAATCCAATTTTTGGCAAATTCCTCACGTTACCACTGTGCAAATGAGTCTTCTTCATTATCATTAGTTATGAACGCGTGTTTGTTTAAAAATGTTAACCATACGTAGGAAGTACATAGAATCAGAATTGGCAATTTCCTGCCAGTCCTTTTATTTCCTTTTTTCTTTTTTTCTTTTTTAAAGGTTATGATCTGATGGGATTTGAGCTTTCAAAACCAAGATTAAGGGCTGAACTTGAAGCTGATCTTAAGAGGCAAGGATGACTTCAATTCACATTTTTGATTTGTTGCCAGCTGTTTAAGGTTGTATGTTAGGACCACTAAGTATAACTAGGGACTGGTGTGGTATGTTTGTGTAATAGCTACAAATTGAGTGTTTTGGTAGACTGTTTAACATAGACTACGAGTAGTCCCCCATTTTTCCTCAGGGATAATGGAGTGAGCGAAACGAAAATCACCCCATGCGAGAAAAAAATCTCTCCCCGCCGCATGTCGCCTTTTCTCGCGTGGGAGATCTATTATCCCTGAGGAAAAATGGGGGACTACTCGTAGTCTAATTAAACAAGCTCTGTTGCCTGGCTAAACAGTTTAAACTGCAGTGCTAGTATCACTAGGGTCAGACTAGTGGACCAGTGTAATGATCAAGTACTAGCAGCTCCCATTCTTTGCAAAAATACACTTACAAGCTGGTGCTGGTCTTGGCTAATTTTTTGTCAACTTACTGTTTTGGCAGAATTTGTGAAGGAACACGAAACAAGGATGGTAAGGCACCTAAGATACCTGTTTACGGTAGATACGTATACTAGCATCCTCCTTCAATGGGCAAGGATTCAGGCAAATCATTGCCTAACTACATGTAAATCATTAACTAAAACCGGCAAGAAGTGGTTCTGGGAGAGCAAAATGTGAGGGCTACTTGCCCAAAAAACAAGCTTTGAAGTCCTTTTCTTTTTCACATAAGCACCCCCTACCCTCCCCTAAGAAAAAATTACCAAATGTGCTGTATGGAGGTAGAATAGAGGCATTATGGGCTTTATATGAGCATTTACTGTATAGTACTCCACTCTCACCATGTAGCCAGGGTTCAAATCCCAGCTCAACACCATATGAGGGTTGGGTTTGTTTTTGGTTCTCTCCCTTGCTCCAAGAGGATTTTCTTGGTTTCTCCCGTTTTTCCTTCTTCTCAAAATCCAACACTTCCAAATTCCCGTTCGACGTGGAATGCACGGGCACATTTAATCGAGTTAGGCGCTTCGTGGGTAAACAAATCACAAGTTACAATTACAGGATAAAGTAAGAGTACTGTTAGGTTGTGAGGTTTCGAGTGAATGACTATCCTTCAGGATTTCATCTTTACACTAATACAGATTATGTTTCAGTTGCTCATTACTGTATGTTATGAATACCTCTGAAAGAAGTAAAGAAGAGAATACCATGCCATGCTGAAAAAGGCGTATACTTATTCTTTCTTTATTTAGATGTTCTTGTAGAGCAAATAGCAAAGTACAAGGAACAGTTTGTTCAGGCTGTGCAGGAGGTTTGTTTACATTTCATGTCTGTTAAACTGCGAACGAGAAAGTATTTGTGGCGAAGAACCAATGTAGTTTAATGATCATCAAAGGTTGCTTATTCTTTCTCAGTTATGTCTGAGTAAATGACAATTGACTCAGCTCTTCTTGCTGAGAGGAGTGGCCACGCACTGTAGGGAAATGGAATAACTTTTAGACAAAGTTCCAGAAACGATGTGTTGTTATTTCCACCTAACAGGTGAATTTACGTTATCTTATTCCTTCCTTATCATAGGCAGTCAAATTGGATCAGGCTCTCTCAAATTATTTTGGGGATCCTAAAGAGTTTCTTGATGAAGGTTTGTACAAAAATATGTTGAGGTACAATTTTTTTTTTACTTGTGTAGAGTTTAGGTTTCACGTAGTTTGAGATTTTTTTTTTAAATACGCGTAGTAACTATTTGTATTAAATTTAAATAACATTAATGATGTGGGGTTTGTCGAGTTTGTATGCTAAGTTTCTTTGCATCCTTTGAATGGGCCCTTTGCAGCTTGTCATTCAAGTGTCACAAAACCGCCATACTGGAGAGCAACAGACACACAGGGACAAGGGAAGCTAACAGCTCGCATCATTTAAAATGACAGTGGCAGATCCAGAGGAGGCCCCCCTTATTTTTAGACCAAACTGAGGGCCGTAGGGCTGAGAAAATTTTTTTGGAGACCGCCCCCTCCCCCTTATATCAGGGTCTGGATCCGGCACTGAATGATAGTCTCCTTTGTTTGTCTTGTCCCAGTGCATCCCTTGTTCTCCAGTGTGATGGTTTGGTACAATGTGAATGACTATAGCTTCAAAGGGCGTGTTATAGCCTGACATTACTACTTTGCCACTTTGTCTGACTTTTAAATGTATTTTTTCAAGTTGCCGCTCTCATAGTCTCTGTTTAATTGCAGTTCTGGGTATAGAGAATGAGAGAGGAGCAGAACCTTTGCGTCTTTGTCCCAGATGTAAGACAGAACAAATGGTTCTGAAGAAAACAAAGGACGGCAGGTGAGAGGGTTTATGAGAACAATAAACAGCCAGATGAAAGAAAGATGACATAATACCTGAGTATGAACTGGGAAACTGCAGGGTATAAGGGACCATACGTTTACCAAACCAGCAAGAGTTAGGCTAAGTACTAATAAGCACTGCATAAGATTTTTCTCTTCTATTATTTTTGCCAGCCTTGTAAGTCTCGCTTGCGTAAACAGCAAGACTCATAATCTGCAACGCGTTCTTCGTCTTATTTAGGACACAAAAGGGGGTCATTGTGCCAGGCGTTCCTAGCGGAGACCGTGGAAACTGGGAATAAGAAATCGTTGCGTGATCGAAGCCACGCATATTTTGCGAAAAAAAAAAGAATCTTAATTAGCAAAACTGCGATAGTCGGTTGCTGTAAACTTTCATTGTATGCAAATGGGTCTTTTGATGAGCATGCGGTTTATTTTCAGCGATGATTGAAATGACATGCCTCGTAAATCACTTCTTTGATCTCTGGCAATGATGTAATTTCTCTGGAATCGAGGCCCTTGATTTTTTGTGTATTTATACACGCGTATAGCCTGCGACCGCAGACGCATTTCCGGTCGTCGCTAACACGCGTACTAAATCAGTTCAGAAACAAATTAAAAGTATCGACGACGATAAAGTAGGAAGTAAAAAACCTTTAGCGAATAAATCCTGTTTCGTGTAGAATTAATCGCCTCCTCATTTCTCGATCTAATCTCCAAGTCTTTCGGGATCCTTACTTAATCATGCACAACAGATAACCAAAAAATCAGAGAATATCTTATGTAATGAGTAAGTAATATTGCTGGGCTGTAAGATTCAAGTTGCCGGGTATATGCAATCAGTAGGTGGGGAACTAAATAGCCAGGGAGTTCTTTTGGACTCATCTTCCTTTCGCTTCCTACGAATTTAGCCAGGGATCATGCTCATACATAGTAGCTGTGGGAACCCCAGTCCTTAGTGATAGTCTTAATATTGGATGAGCCTGAGTATGATATGAAGAATTGCGCAGGTCGAGAAGGGTGTGGAACACTCTCCGGGATCAGCATAATTCTCCATATCATACTCAGCCTCGTCCAATAACTCTTAACGATTAGATATATGTTGAGACTGAGGTAAACATCATGGGATAAAGTAAGCATTGGTAAAGCGAGACGCGTCTATGACGCTATCTGTATCTTACTTGTCTCATCCACAGTTTTATGATTGGATGTGAAGGTTATCCAAGGTGCCGTTCTAGTGCTTTTTTCCCCAAATTTGTCTTGGAAGCTACAGTGCACGAATCTTTGTGTCCAAATTGTCAGCCAGGAGATGTGCACAAAATCAGCTTCAAATTCAAGAGAGGCTCTGTCCCACCAATGATGCCGTTGGAGTAAGTTTTGTTTTTTCATTTATTTATTTCAAACAAAGTTAGTTAAATGTTTAATCTTTTAAGGAACGTTAGAAAAGCTAATGAATGTGAGAAGTTGTTGTTGTTGTTGTTGTTGTTTTTTTCATCACAGACGTTCGTGGTGTATTTCTGAAGCCATTGTTGAAGTTTAAGCCGTATGATTGATATTTTCACTGGCATTCACTTGAAGAAAATTTTCTTTTTAGGTACGTGGGCTGTGTTGGTGGATGTGATGATACTCTTCGAGAATTACTGGACTTGAAAGATTTGACAAGACTTCCCTCGGATTCAGGTAGAAACCACTAACTACACACATATTATTTGTCCACTTAAACAAATGCACCAGTTTAGCAACAAAGAGAGCAATGGCCCTTGCACCCGTAGGATTTGTTTGGTTTTTTTTGTCAGGGATTGTGGCCCTGAAATTGCTGAAAACGCGCTGAAAAATCCCCTTTCCTTCACCCTTGATCATAGTAAGCAGTCGATGTGACGGAACGAGAGACTACTGAATTTGTATCATTTTACAGGCCGATGTTGGAATCTGAAATTTTCGTATTTGATTTCCTGTTAAACTCCTAAAACTTTTTTCTCTCTTCTAAAACTACTTTTCCTCTATTGTTTTTTTTTTTTTTTCAGGAGGCGCAAATTTTTCTGGAAGAGGAGGGCGAAATCCTCAATCCGGCAGCAGAGGAAAGAAACAACCTGTGGGGCGTGGTCAAAGTACAATTAACAATCCCAGAGAAGGTGGTAATCAACTGTCCACAAGGCCTTCTCAGCGGAGAACTGCACAAACGGTTCAGACGAATAGGAATGAAGGACGTAATATTACCACTTCTGGTCCGGCTTGGCAACAAAATAATGGGAACAGTTCATCATTTCTAACAGGTATGACTCCGTATAATTACTAAAAAGGTTAATGATCAACAGAAAAAGCCATAACTAGGGTAATATATAATTGTTATTTGTCTGAGGGTGAGCTTATGCCGTCTATCGGCAAATAAAATAAATAAAATAAATAACGATTTGCAGGTAGTACATCCACATAGTGGTTCTTCGTCTACCTGATTCCTGGTCGAATTGGAATTTGGAAATGTTGGTTTTTGAGGAGAGGGGAAAACCGGAGTACCCGGAGAACAACCTTTCGGAGCAAGGGAGAGAACCAACAATAAACTCAACCCACATATGGTGTCGACGCCGGGATTTGAACCCGGGCCACATTGGTGGGAGGCGAGTGCTCTCACTACTGCGTCACCCTTTCTCCCAAACCAATTTTTTTGATCTTTTAAACCTTGTAAGTTCTCTATAGTTTAATATAACATTGCAAAATGTTTTAATTCTAGAATGTTTTATTTTGCAAACATGAAATACGTCTGTAACTTAGCTTCCTCTCTGTCAATTTATAGGACTCGAATTCCTTTTGAACTCGCTTTCATGTACTCGTCCCTTGGTAATGGTGTCATGAGGTCACCGAAACGTTGATTCATTATATCGTTAGTTTTTACACCTAATTACTAATTGCCTTTGCTTTACAGGTTCAGGTTTTAATCAATTCCCTTCGGAAGGCTATTTTGGTGGGTACGTTCTGTGTTAGTGTTTAATGTGCCATTATAATACCATTGGGCTAATTCGAAAGGGACCCATTTTTTCATTCTCGAGAATTCGTATTATGTACTATTAATTTTATCTGATTTTGTCCTTTTGACAGACAAGACAATGAGAACTGTGTGGTTTGCACATGTGGACAGCCAGCAGTAAAGTTGACTGTGAGAAAAGATGGGCCCAATAAAGGTGAGTTAGAACATGGTAGTTACGCAAGACCTGCGGGACATATAAAATGACTGGACAAGTCTAACATGACACCTGGACTGATACAATCATTACACTTTAACGAGTCTCAGTTGCTATCAATAGTAGCAAAACTGGAACCGTCAGATATGGAAATGTCAAACCACTTCGATAATAGCCAGTTTTAAAGTCGTATGGCGTAAGATGCTATCTGAGGATGGTGTAATCTATAATCGAACTGGTTTTAAAGGAGGCCACATAATGGTCGATACCTGCTCTTACTCACCTTTATTGCGATTTGAGGATGGTATACCATTTCACTTTGTAGGTCGACCATTCCTGTGGCCTGCTTTAAAACCAGTTCGAGTATAGTCAGTTGTAGGTCAGTTTAAGTTTTCAGGTCGTATGGCGGGAAGATGTGATCAGCTAAGCTGGTATACTTTTTCACTTTGTAGGTCGACCATTTTACAAGTGTTCCAATAGAGACGGTGGTTGTGATTTTTTCCTATGGGCTGATGATTCAGGGAGTTCCTCATCATTCAGTCACGCAGCACCTCCTGTGCCATCCAATAGCATCAGCAGGAATAACGTCGGTGGGTAACAGAAGCGTTGGTCACTTGTAGTGCAACCACTTAAACCTGGGCCACTCAGACAAAATCGAATGACAGGAAAGTAACAGTAACTTTTAAAAAAGTAGTTTTCGAGCCAACTAGCAGCTCATAGGGAACAACAACCTAATGGAAGCACTAATCTATGAAAAGCGAAATTATCCAGTAAAAAAACGTTAACATTCGGCAAAGTTTTTATTGTTTGTAATTTTAAAAAGAACGCTCGTGGGACATATTTGTCTGTCAGAAAGCTATCATTTCGTCATTCACAATCAACTTCATACGATTTCAAGTAAAAAAATTTAACCAAAGTTTAGGTTTTTTACTTTACCGTCAGGCTCCATCACGAACCTCCCAGAAAACTGGTTTGCTTCATTGGGATTAAAGGTCACGTCTGTAGGTTGTAATTGGTATATTTTGATCCCTTTTTTTTGTTTCGTTGCAATTATCATTAACAACCAACTTTCCCGGAATACGTTTTTCTCTCTTTTATCCGAGTGTTTCAATTATGTCAAGGAAGCCTTGGTATAAACAGATTTCTGACTGAATTTTATTTTTCTGTAGGGCACTAATTTCTCTAGAAATAGTTTTGAGTTTTTTGTTATTTTTGTTTTCAAGGAATTCTTAGTTCTGTTTTCATTATCAGTGGAAAGAAGTAGGGTATTAACAATGGGTGTGGTCATACTAATTGCCTTTGCTTTTCAGGTCCACGTGTTAATCACTTTCTGACTTCTGGAGGCCCCTTTGGTGGGTACGTTCTGTATTATTGGTTACATTAAAGGTGTTGTCGATAGAGTAAATCTTCAGGTGACAGAGGTAAACTTCGTCTTGTGGCCAATAAACTATTCAGCCTCCTAATGAGTTGTTACTGGTTATGTCTAACAGATCAGACGAAGAAAACTGTGTGGTTTGTACTTGTGGACAACCTGCATTAAAACTGACAGTAAAGAAAGATGGACCTAACAAAGGTAAGGTTAATGAAGGCTTCCTGACCCCTGTGCAATTGTAAATTGTACGGAGTAGCTACAAAATGCCTGCATGACATACTAAGTGATAAGACTAGTCATCTTGAAAGTCGGGGTACAGTCTTCAACCCCCCTGCCTTTTGCCCCCATTAGGTAAGAGTATGGGGCTAAAAAGCAGCTGTTAAAGCCGTGATATTTTGGATTGGTCCGCTGCCATCTACCAATAGGTCTAGACAGAGAAATTAACAAGGTTTTGTGGTACTTATTTCGCTACTTACTTTAAAATTCTAGGTCGAGAATTTTTCAAGTGTTCCAACAGAGACGGTGGATGCGATTTCTTCCTGTGGGCTGACGATGATTCAGGGAGCTCTCTATCATTTAGTCATGCAGCACCTCTGACCCCCTCCAATAACATTAACAGGAATGGCGCAGGTTGTTATTAGAATATAGCAGGAATATAGAATAAGCAAGTAAAGAAGTGTAATTTCATGGCAGATTTTTTTGAAACAGAAATACATTTTTTTCAAAGTATGCCAGTTACCATGTAGATTCAAAAGTTGCCATGACCCACGATATGCTACTTATCTGTCACCTATTCCATCATCGTTTAGGAGACGTGGGCAAAATACCTGAGCTAATACTGTATCATTAAAGAACATGTAACGAAAGTACAATGGTTATGCTAAGAATATTGTTCCTTTACCCTAGGATTCTATTCGGGGCAAAACTCGACTGTCGACGATAGGTACGTTTTATTCTTGGAACAATTTACTTCACATTTCTAGTTGTTTTAAAACCTCCTATTTTTGTCTTAGGCTAGATTTTCACTGTCGCGTAATTTTTACGTGCGTGTACACGCACGTTAAAATGCGTGAAGTTGAGCGAGGTTCACCTTGTACTTTTACGCGCGATCTTGTACACATTGCCTCTCTTGTATTTGCGAACGTAAATTTAACGCACGTACCAACGTAAAAATTACGCGATAGTAGAAATCCACCCTTACGGACGATACTGGGTTGTTTTCCAACGGTAACGCCTAGGTTGATTTCCACTGACGCGTTTTTGGCTACGCACGTTAACGCGCGTAAATTTTAATCACGTAAATAAAATAGAGGAAAGATATAAAGTGTTGAGATTAAACGTTAAGTTGAACGAGGTTCTACTGTTACGATTATGTGCGATCTTTTATACATTGCCTCTATTTTATTTGCGAACGTAAATTTTACACACGTAAAAATTACGCGACAGTGGACATCAACCCTCAGTCTTATTTGTACGATTCTTTAAATGTTGTAGCAGTTAACTGTAAATTAAGCGACTTATCCGAGAGTCTAGTTCATTTTAGCAACTCCTTCTTTGTAGACCACATCCACTCAAAATTCTTAATATTTAACAGGATGGTAATGCCATTAGGTTTTTTAACCTATCCGTCATAAATGGCTGATGTTTGCAATTCTTTAATATTTAATAATGTTTAATTTTGCATTTGTAGCGGAGCAAGTCCCTGTTGTCACTGCGGGCAGCCTGCTGTGAGGTAAGCATAGAATGACCTACAGTGTGGTTTAAAGAGCTGATGACACGAAATTATTTTAAACTGATTTTGGTCCGTAGTTTAAGTAACAATTGCTAACTAAAAATATACCCCCAAAAAAACTTTTCTTGAATTTTGCCGTCCAAAAACTGCTTTTTCCCCTTCAGAAATGTCACAAAGGCTTGGAAAGAGTAAAGGATCAAAGAAAGGCTAATGACGTCTAGTGGCGTTAGTTACTCTTCCAATTCTGGTCATTGCTTTGTGTTTTGTGAAATTACACGATCAACTTGACTGTAATGAAGGTATAACGAAGGAAATGAAGATTATAAATCCTTCGTATTTGCCATCTCGTTAAATTATGCTACATTCTTGCAAATAACTCTACATCATACTTGTCAATTTGGCCGCGTTATTGGGCGGACATTTTTAAAGGCAAATTCGTGTGATTTAAAGACGAAAAAATGGGTTTAAGAGAAATTCGTGTCATATACTCTTTAAACGAATTTTATAGCTATGAAACGCCGAGAAAACTGTACAAACCAAAGCTAGTACAGTGTTGATTTGTTTAAATCTTGAGCCGTTATACATGAGAATAAAATCTGAAGGACCCTTGGATGTCAAACTGCTTGCTTATGTTCACGTTGCATGCAAACGTTCCAGGTTTTTTTGATTTCCAACCAATTCTAGCTACTAACACCATAACTACACGCTGTTTAGTCGCACAGTTTCCAAAGAAGGACCAAACAAGGGCCGGCCATTTTACTGTTGTTCTAAGCCCAGAGGCCAGGGATGCGATTTCTTTGAATGGGGAGACAGTACCGGGCCATCAACGGCCAACAGTTACAAATATAAAGGACCGTCTGGTGCAGCGCGAAATGGTGGAGCAACCAAGAAGCGAAAGTGCGGACTCTGTCATCAGGAAGGTAGGACGGAGATAATAGGAACTTTAAGCAAATCGCTATGGCGACCTCTACTACGGCGGTGGTGGATGTGGAGTCATGGGGAGAGTACGTCATCGTAGCCCGCCAAATTTCTACTTTAAGCAAGCAGTATCCAAATAGTGACTACGGAGTTTCTCGCTCATTTGCTTTCGTTGTTAGTAAAACGCAGGGACGACGTAAGTGCTAGAAGCCAGAAGCGTCAAATACTTTCTTGATAAAGTGAAAAACAATCTATGATAGGTTTTAAAATCATCGATTGTTCAAAATAGGAGAAAAGTCGAATTTTATACTCAGGTAGTAACGACTACGCCACAAGAGAGTCTTCACGTTGTAGGATTTGGAGCTACGACGAAAGGACAATTCCGAGCATGAGCACTGCATCATTTTTGGGCTTTTTTACTTCCGGCCGTCATAGAAGAGGTCGCCGTAGTGATTTGCTTCAAGTCCTTAATGTAGTGTAAATATTGACGGAGAAGCTACTTTACGCCACACATTTCTTTAGATCGAGTTGCAATGTTTTTTTCCCAGGCGATCCTAGAATTCTGTGCGCAAAACATAGGTTTCCAATTACTGAAAAAGTATTCGTTGCCCTATTTAATGAAACCGCGCGAAAGAAAAAAAGCAATGAGAGGATGAACATTGTCTACTGCTTCTTCATGCTAGTAATTTTCTTGATTTTTTTAATTTTAGGTCACACCAAACGGTCCTGCCCAATGAACAGATAACAAAGGTATTCTGTCGGTACTCCGTAACCTCTGTACATCTATCGGTGGATATCGACAAATATTGTATAATACTTTCAAGACTCGTTGCGATTACTTGTAAAGCAGTTTTCGATGGGTTTTGTTTAATATGGCACGTTTTAATCTGTATTGTACTTGGAAAGAGCCAATTTTCGAAATTTACAGGTCATATTTTGTTAAGGTATGTCATTTTACTGCCACATCAATAAAACATCAAGAACAAAGGAGCCGTGGAGGTCATATATGTTGTTTATAATTCTCAAGCCCAATTGTTCGGTCGTGTGATCACTGTTAAAGTGGGTTACAGGATTAAAGATCTCTTGCTCTTCCTTTCAGTTTTGCTTGTATCTGAATGATCGAACATCCCTTGGTCTTCAGATAATATTTCTAAACGCGTGAGTGGGGCGGGGACTGAATGCAGAGATGGGCAGTTGCCAAAATATGGAAAACAAAATATATAAGACGTTTAATTTGACCCAAACGCAGCAACAACGCAAAAAATATATCTTGGTTATATCTTAGTGAAACTGTAAAACTGCGTCTTGCACTTAACATAGCAGTTTGATGACAACAACGACAAGAAGTGCTTTGAACAGCCTTCTTTGTTTTACTTCCTCTTGTCCGCTGCTCATCTTTAGTGCTGCAGTCTTTACACCAGTTCTTTTTTCTTGTCGTTTTAACGCCGCATTGCACTCCTCGTCTTCTTTTGAACACTGTTCTTTTCCTGTAAAANACTAACACTATAACTTCACGCTGTTTAGTCGCACAGTTTCCAAAGAAGGACCAAACAAGGGCCGGCCATTTTACTGTTGTTCTAAGCCCAGAGGCCAGGGATGCGATTTCTTTGAATGGGGAGACAGTACCGGGCCATCAACAGCCAACAGTTACAAATATAAAGGACCGTCTGGTGCAGCGCGAAATGGTGGAGCAACCAAGAAGCGAAAGTGCGGACTCTGTCATCAGGAAGGTAGGACGGAGATAATAGGAACTTTAAGCAAATCGCTATGGCGACTTCTACTACGGCGGTGGTGGATGTGGAGTCATGGGGAGAGTACGTCATCGGAGCCCGCCAAATTTCAACTTTAAGCAAGCATTATCCAAATAGTGACTACGGAGTTTCTCGCTCATTTACTTTCGTTGTTAGTAAAACGCAGGGACGACGTAAGTGCTAGAAACCAGAAGCGTCAAATACTTTCTTGATAAAGTGAAAAACAATCTATGATGCTTTAAAATCATCGATTGTTCAAAATAGGAGAAAAGTCGAATTTTATACTCACATAGTAAACGACTACGCAACAAGACAAGTCTTCACGTTGTAGGATTTGGAGCTACGACGAAAGGTCAATTCCAAGCGTGAGCACTGCATCATTTTTGGGCTTTTTTACTTCCGGCCGTCATAGTAGAGGTCGCCGTAGTGATTTGCTTCAAGTCCCTAATGTAGTGTAAATATTGACGGAGAAGCTACTTTACGTCACACATTTCTTTAGATCGAGTTGCAATGTTTTTCCCGCCCCCCCAGGCGATCCTAGAATTCCTATTTAATGAAACCGCGCGAAAGAAAATAGCAATGAGAGGATGAACATAGTCTACTGCTTCTCATGCTATTAATTTTCTTGATTATTTTAATTTTAGGTCACACCAAACGGTCCTGCCCAATGAACAGATAACAAAGGTATTCTGTCGGTACTCTGTAACCTCTGTACATCTATCGGTGGATATCGACAAATATTGTATAATACTTTCAAGACTCGTTGCGATTACTTGTAAATCAGTTTTCGATGGGTTTTGTTTAATATGGCACGTTTTAATCTGTATTGTACTTGGAAAGAGCCAATTTTCGAAATTTACAGGTCATATTTTGTTAAGGTATATCATTTTACTGTCCACATCAATAAAACATAAAGAACAAAGGAGCCGTGGAGGTCATATATGTTGTTTATAATTCTCAAACCCAATTGTTCGGTCGTGTGATCACTGTTAAAGTGGGTTACAGGATTAAAGATCTCTTGCTCTTCCTTTCAGTTTTGCTTGTATCTGAATGACCTAACATCCCTTGGTCTTCAGATAATATTTCTAAACGCGTGAGTGGGGCGGGGACTGAATGCAGAGATGGGCAGTTGCCAAAATATGGAAAACAAAATATAATATAAGAAGTTTAATTTGACCCAAATGTACCAACAACTCAAAAAATATGACTTGGTAATATCTTAGTGAAACTGTAAAATTGCGTCTTGCTCTTAACATAGCAGTTTGATAACAACCATGACAAGAAGTGCTTTGAACAGCCTTCTTTGTTTTAGTTCATCTTGTCCGCTGCTCATCTTTAGTGCTGCAGTCTTTACACCAGTTCTTTTTTCTTGTCGTTTTAACGCCGCATTGCACTCCTCGTCTTCTTTTGAACACTGTTCTTTTCCTGTAAAAGGTTTATCCAGTTAATTATCCACTATTTCAACAACAACAAGACCCAGTGCTCTTCATAAGATTGTGAACTTGATTTTTTTTAATCGCAGACTTCGAGCGGAAATCCCATACATTCCGTCAGTGCTTTTTTCATGTATGCAATACAATTGTAACCTAAATGTATCATTACCGCAATGTGAAAGGAACACGTGGGCACGCCAAGTGAGGCTGTTAAACACACAATAAGAACACAATAAAAATGTATTTATTAACAAAACGATAAAGTTTTACAATATACTGTATGCCCTCCAAATAGCCATTACGCTAATCTAGGCAGGACAAAACGTTAAACAAAGGCGATATTAAATTACAGATTAAAAAAGAAAAAAAATACGATCTTCACATTTCAATTTGCCGAAGTACAGTCTTTTAAATGTAAACAAGTCTTTTTATAACTCGTAGAAAAGTTATGGTAAGAACATTGATGAAACACTCGCCTGTTGTTCGCGTGCCACTTTTTTTGTTCTTAAAACATTTTGGCGTCATCTGTGCTCTATTACTAAACAGACGTACGGTAGCAGGGAATCCATTTGTTTTATGTGGACCATGGAAAAGAAGTGGTGATGGCGCAATGCGTTTCCCAAACCATCGCCACATTATCCAAGATATCTTTGGAAATTATATTTTTAAACACGAAGAGACAAGAATCTTTCATTGTCTATAACTCAAGTAAACTATAGTTAAATTGTTTGTCGGGAACCCTGAAAGTATTTGTATCCGTTAAAATAGCTGAAAGCAAACTTACTTGAACAGTAGAAGCCATCTCCGTAAAATCCCCTCTTACAAACACAGAGATAAGAGCCATCAGTGTTGTAGCAGTCAGCCCAGCGATGGCACTCAGCGAAATTCTGCTGACACTCGTTTACATCTGTTGAATAAACAGTTAGAAAGCCAAAGTTTTTTAGTTCTAGAGTCTAAAGCTGATAGTGCAGGGATGATCCCATGTGAATGTTATATACAGTCAGGGTTCTCATTAAGGTTTAAAGTAGACAGCTAGGATGTAAATGTAGGCGGCTTGGCAACTGAGTGCTGCAGGCAATTTCAGGCGTTCACTTTTTCTCTTTACCCTGTTTCCCCGGCTCAAACCTCAAAGTAGCTGGTTGTTTACTAGCTGCCGCAACTTGACGCTGACAATTGCTCCATTCCACAGATTTCAAAATATCATCAATAACTACATAATCATCAGAATTGAAGTAGTTTTATAAATGACTATTTTACGAACTTTATGTTAGGCACCTGTTAAACCTGCCGTATAAATTACCCATAATGCAATAATTTGCTGGTTGCTCACAACGTAAGCTTCGTAATCTCGAATTTCTAAAATAGCATTTGCGTCAAAATTATCAAGCTGGCTGCCCCTAAATTAATAATGAAAAACAATACAGAATAAAAGACAAAAAATACACATAAAAGACGATTTATGGAATAATATTTCTCATTACATTTGAAACTGTCGCTTACGAGAGGTTATAGTTACAGTGCTTTGACAGAAAAATAACTGGTCTTAAGTAAAGGTCTGACTGGACGGTATTGCTTTTGGTATATGCTAGGCTCCAAATGCATTGTGACCTTATACAATTTGCACTGACAAGCATATGAACCAGGCAGGTTAACACACAGCGAATCCTGTACACACGCTTTAAGGATTTAAACAATGTCTGAGTAGAGTACTTTGGAAGGATTTAACTCGTTACCATGACATGAGTTATCCGTGAGGTGATATCCCAGTTTACACTGACAAGCATATGAACCAGGCAGGTTAACACACAGCGAATCCTGTTCACACGCTTTAAGGATTTAAACAATGTCTGAGTAGAGTACTTTGGAAGGATTTAAGTCGTTACCATGACATGAGTTATCCGTGAGGTGATATCCCAGTTTACACTGACAAGCATATGAACCAGGCAGGTTAACACACAGCGAATCCTGTTCACACGCTTTAAGGATTTAAACAATGTCTGAGTAGAGTACTTTGGAAGGATTTAAGTCGTTACCATGACATGAGTTATCCGTGAGGTGATATCCCAGTTTACACTGACAAGCATATGAACCAGGCAGGTTAACACACAGCGAATCCTGTTCACACGCTTTAAGGATTTAAACAATGTCTGAGTAGAGTACTTTGGAAGGATTTAAGTCGTTACCATGACATGAGTTATCCGTGAGGTGATATCCCAGTTTACACTGACAAGCATATGAACCAGGCAGGTTAACACACAGTGAATCCTGTTCACACGCTTCAGGATTTGAAGCACATTCGTCTAAGTCTGTAAATTATTAAAACAAATGCAAACAGTGACAAACAAAACAAGTTAGTGACTTAATGTTCTATTTTCTGCACTATTGCTGGATTTTACTAGATATACATTACAATATATTATAAAAACAGAAAAAAGGGAAAACAAATTACATTAAATGGTGAAAGATAAAATATGGGCAATGTCCAGTGTAGCTTAGGCCTTCGATTTGGTTACTGCCACGTGCAATTAACTGACGTAAACATTTACATAAAACTAGAAGAAAAGGAGAAAGAACGATGATGTCCGGGAATACCCGCGGGATCTCCCGCAGGATTCGAAAAGTAAGCGTTCTCCTTCGTCGAACGCAATAAATAAATTATGGCCTAAATAGCGTATGTTCCCTTTTGGCAGTAGTTGTGCATGTCGCGTTCAACTTGGCCCTTTAGGTGATCTATGCAACATGAGTCAAGTATTACCTTGGCACTTTAAGCCTTTGGCTGCATACCCGTGTTTACAGAGACAAAAGTACGAGCCTATAGTGTTCACACACTTTCCATTGCTGCCACACCTTTTAGTCTTTCTCTGGCACTCATTAACGTCTACAAGACAGCACGTAAACCTTAGTGTTCAAAGTCGTAATGTTAAGGGTAAAGTTTATTTATCGATAACAAGGCAATTATCTAGTGAGTTGGTGTGGTGGTAAAACAGGATTGAAATCGCCCGGAATTTTGTGACGGTGACTGGAGTGCAGTTTCAGCTTTTTTTCATGGTATTGTCAGTAATACGTAATGGCTGGTACTGTTTGTAGCCAGAAGCAGTTGTAAAGTTATATGTGCGTTGAAAAGGTAATGAAAAAAAACGAATGAAAGAACTTGAACGAAAGTAGGAGGCAGCATGGTAGCCTCCCACAACGCGATCCTTCACCCATGAATGTTAGAGGGAATTGCATGATGGGCCAAAAGAACGTCTGCTTATGAGGATAGCAGCATTGCTTAGTGGTCAGTGAATCTAACGGGTAATGAAATCAAGGTTTAAAGTCCCGCTCTCATTGTTAGATAGGTTTTTTTCGTTGGTCCTAGGTTTAACACTTTGACCATGGTTAATGACCCTCTGCCAGTTGGTGCAATTATAAGCTATGTTACATTTATTTGCTTGTCATATTCTGGTAAAGACTCGTTTCCATACTCTAAACAAAACATTCACATTTATTAGGCCAAGATGCATTTGTTAGCACCTGCATGAAATGTCTCCCTATAAGGGACAGCACTGGCTGCAACATACCAAAAGGCATAAGTGACACACCTACACATTGTAGTTTCCCATCCAGTGAATACGATTCTGTGAATCCCACATTACAGAAACAAGCATATGAACCAAAAGCATTTACACAGGTGGAGTTCTCCTCACAATTATGGCTCCCGATCTTGCACTCATCAATGTCTAAACGGTGAGAAAAGAAAAGAAAATAACTTTACTGACTGACAAACACAACTACTGCCTGGTTCGCTCAGTTGGGTAAGTGCTGGTCTGCCGAGAGGGGTGTAGCGGGCTCAACCTTGGCCATACCAACACTCAGTGGCTTTAAAAACTGTGGAGAAAGTGCTACCCTTGGAGTGAAATATGCCAATTATTTACAGACTTTCTTGTCTTCTCGGATAAGGACGATAAACAATAAGCCCCTTCTCACAACCCTTGCTCGTATAAACGAAATGTGTGGGACTTTTAAAGAAACCCAAACACTGTTCTGAAAGAGAAGGGCACATATTACCCGTTGTTGTGGTTGTCATTCAAATTAGGGAGAAACTGCACCAAAAGTAGTCTGAGGTCTTCTACGAGTTGGAGGACGTTTACCAGGGCAACAGATAGTGAGGTAATTTGCAATTTACCGTCTGGCCCTATCACAACATGCAATATTCTGTTGCTTTGATATTTAACGCAAAGTGTACCTAAACATTGTTTTCCATCTGCTTTAAAGCCTGCCTCTTTACAGTCACAGATATATGATCCCACTGTGTTAATGCACTCTGTCAAGTATGGGCATACATCTCTTGGGTTGGCACATTCATCAATATCTGAAAATGA